ACCCCATTTAATTGCCCTCTGCGATATCTGCCAATGCTCCCTTTATCTTGGTACTGTATATAAGCAACTCCTTCAGATAACATTGTCACTTTTTCTCGACAGAGTGTTCCTAATGGGATTCTCTGTTGGAGATACTTTGAGCATTCTTTGTGTTATCTGTTTAATTTTTGTAATAAAAAAAAAATAAAATAAAATAAAAAATAAAAACTTTATTTGGCAACCTGATTTATAGCATGAACTCCTTAACTAAAGTACCTGGCATGAAGGCAAATCAAGTCTATCCTATACCATCTCTGATATCTAGTGTTGCACAAGAGTTAGGGGGGGATTTCTCGTCTGAGGCTGTTTGTGACCATAGCTGTAGGGAGATTCGGACGTACATTGATGCAGTAGTATTTCTCTTCGGAGCTCTGAGGCTGCACTTGTGAGCGATCTTGGACATTCTGAAAAGAATTTCGATTTGCTTTTTTCAGCATCTTATTTTACTCCCTTGGTATTTTGTGTGATGTTTTGGGTCTTTCCCTGGTTGCTTTTGAGCCTGTATCGTCCTTGAGGGCAAGTACTTAGTTCTCCCTCTATCCCCTGATGTTGCAGTTCTTGTGGGGAGGTTTACTGCTCAGTTACTTGAAGTAACAGCTATGCATTGTATGCCACTTTTCTTAGGACAACTTGCTTTAACCTGCCACTGCCAGATGGAAGCATATTTAGACTATTAGAGAATAGGCCTGCTCCTGGAAATGTGGGGTTCCAGAATGGAGTCCGTAGTCAACCTGAGTAGATCACAATTCTTTAGGACTTGCCTGATGAGATATTTATCATCCCTACACACTTTTTTGGAAACCTTTAAGCAATCGCTACATCAATTTTATGATGAATTGGGACCATTGTTAGCATCTTTCTTGATTCGATTGTCAGCTTCTGCATTTTCTCTAGTCTCTTGACAAGTATGTTATTGGGATTTGTTGAGTATAGATAAGTTGTTGGAGAGCATTTGTTTACCTGTTGCCACCCTCCATGAATTACATGAAGCTCTTTTCTCGAATCCTTGTTTTTGTGGACATACCATAGTTTTTGGATTTAAGGGTTGATGTTGCCCATCTGTGTTCATCCCTTTCATTAGCATCTGGACTTTCCATTGCTCCTATAGGGGTCATAGTCCTACCCCTATTCAAGTGTCCTGACCCCCAACATCAGCCCCTCAGTCCATTGTACCCAGGATAGTTTCCACCCTTATCCACAAGGTTTTTCTGCTCAGTTGGAACACCACAAGCAGCAGCAGTGAATACTGTATGCTTTTGGGGTTTGTGGGGCTTATCTCCAAGAATTTCTGGATGTGTGGGAACCCTTACTACAGGTCTTTGCATCAGGATTAGTCATTCAGTTCACCATTATCTCCCCCAACCTGCAGTGTTTTCACCTCCTGCAGATCCTCAGGGTTCAGAACTTCATTTTATGGCTATCAGAAATTTGTTGGTCGAGGGGGCAGTGGAGAGTCTTTCCAGTTCTTCCTGGATTTTATTCTCATCTGTTTGTTTTGCCAAAGATGTGAGATTGGCATCCAGTCATCGATTTTTCTCGTCTAAATCAATTCCTAGATCCTCCAAAGTTTACGATGGAGTCATTCCTCACTCAGCATTGGTATTTTTTGCCAGGACTATGGATGACCAAGTTTCGATGTCGCTGATGCCTATCTGCATGTTCCAATAGCGGAGTCATCCCATCATCATCTTCATTTTGTCCACAAGGGTCTGATGCTGCAGTTCAGGGCTCTGACCTTCGGACTACCATTGGTTCCATATGTGTTCCACCAAAATCGTATTAATCACCTCTATTCCCTGGTCCAGTGCACACACCATTACATGGATGTTTGGCAACTGCTGGCACCATCTTGTCAGTTGGTGGAATGTCACACCTAGATACTGCTTTCCAAAGCAACCAAGGTAGGATTTCTTATTAGAGCCAAGACATCTCTTCTCACTCCAACACAATGTATCATCCATCTGGGTGTTTTTTCAACACGTAGCTCAGTCAGGCTCAGCCAACTCCCTCCTGGTTCAACAATATGAAATAAGCAGTCCAATTCTTTCTCATGATTCCTTCTCCCACTACGTGGATGGTTCTTTCTTTTTTGGGGATGTGGGCATCACTTGAATTGTTTATTCTTTTGAGACGAGCACACATAAGATCCCTTCAGTGATCTCCATGTAACCAATTCCCCAGTCTCCTTATTCAGGATCAACATCTTTGGTCTAGAGTGGTGGTTAGAGCAGAACAATACTACAATCAGTGTTCCTCTAACACCACCTCGTCCAGAGATCCATCTTTTCATGGTTGCTTCTCTTCGGGGATTGGGTGCATATCTCAACAGGAATTCCAGGGCCTATGGAAGGATGATGAGTCTTCCCTTCACATCAGTGGTTTTAGAATTTCTTGCTGTTCAAAGAGTGATGTCTCAAGGTTTGGAATTAGTGAGGGGCAAATTCATCATGCTTCACGTCGACAATTTTACGGTGGGGTCTTACATTTCCTGTCAAGGGAGCACTCAGTCTATGTCTAAGGTTTGGATCCACTCACAAATACATATATTGTTGTCCAAATGACCTAGCCACCAAAGTGGGATTTAGGGGCCATGGCCCTATAATTCTAACACTGAGCAGTGGGACCTCAGCTACCTGGTTGGGGTCTGGCCAGTGGTGATGATGAATCAAATTAAATTCTACCTGCAGTGCATGATTTAGGTTCCCGGGTGAAGAGCATACCTGTTCTGAATGTAGTGCAGTTCCTCCACTGGGGAGCTAATCTTCTTTTGGCATGCCCACAATCTATGGATATGCATTCTGTATTGATAATGACCTCACTGCCCCTACACCTTATCAATGTGGGATTCTAGTGAACGTAAGTGTGTTTTGGAAGTTAACATTTTCTTAAATTGAAAATTTATTTCCAATAATATTTACCTCCCTCACACTCTCCTGGCCTTCCTCCACAGTAAGAGCTGGTGTTAGAGACTGTGGATAGGGTCAGACTTGAAAAAGTGAAATATTATCTGAAGAAGTTGCTTATATACAGCTCCAAAATAGAGGGTACATTGACATAGGTGGAGAGTGTTGTGAGACAGATATCGCCAAGGACAATTAAGTTGGAAATAAAAGCAAGAAAAAATCAGACCAATGCTTGAATGGGAAAAGGAAAAGAAACCCTAGCAGCTGAGTAATGGCTATAGTGTGAATGGATATAAGTATTATTGGAAATACATTTTGGATTTAAGAAAATGTAAACTTTTCTAAATCAACAAAACAAATTTATTAAATTTAATATGGAATTTGGCGAAAATGGAAACATTCATTTTTTTGGACTTAAATATTGACATAAATAATGGCATACATTCCTTCAGAATCTTTAAAAACTTACTTGTAGTGACACCATCATATATGCTTTTTCAAGACATCCAATATCTCACAAACTTGCCATGTTCCATAGGTTGTTACCCAGATTTATCTCTGTACCCTTGTCATATGAAGATTAGGAAACTGAATTTAAAACTATAAAACAGGCCCAGCATTGCCAGGTGGTTAGGGTGCTTGACTTGCAATCTGAGGATCATGGGTTCCAATCCCTGTCCCACCAAACATGCTCACCCTTTCAGCCTTGGAGGCATTATAATGTGATGGTCAATCCCATTATTCGTTGGTAAAAGAGTAAACCAAGAGTTAGCAGAGGATGGTGATGACTAACTGCACTGCCTTCCCTCTAGTCTTTCAATGCTAAATTGGGGATGGCCAGCGCAGATAACCATCATGTAGCTTTTCATGAAATTCAAAGTGAACAATCAAACCTTCATCTTTTAAATGATGTTCCAAAATGTGATTATAGATACTATTTGTCTCAAATCACTGTTAGACATGAAATATTGTATGGCATGGTACATTCTTTCCCATAGAATTTAAACAGTGCAGTTAGTGCAGCATTGTCCTGAATGTTATAATACAACAAGGCTTTCATGGTTCCACTGATATATATATATACCAAGACCAAATAATTACTGTTAACAATGGTTATACAACAAAGTTCATTAACACATTGTTCTTTAAAAAATTGAGAGCCATAAAGTTAAAATCAATATATCCACATACTGTACCAAAATACAAGAAGAACAAAAAAAAATTGTTTAAGATGAGCTACATTGGAATACCTTCTCATAAAATATATAACACACTAAACAAAGAAATCTACAGACTGGCCTACTGTAAAAACAACCTAGGAAAATTTGTTTTGCAACAGTAAAGACAGAATCAAAAATTACAGCAACAGTGATGTTTACCAATTAACATGTCAAAACTGAAATAGTATATGTATAGGTCAAACAGAACATTCCACAGAAATGAGAATTAAAGAACATTCAAGATGCTGGAAATTAAGGAAAATGGATTCAACTTTGCCTCCCACCTTATTGAAACTAAATACCAATTTGATCAAGAAAAAACTGCAAAATTTTACATAACTGTGAAAAAGGTAAAAATCTAGATGGGCTGGAAATTTGATAAATAAATAGAAGCCTAAAAACAAATCCAGAAAAATTCTAAATGACCAAACAAACTTAAGCTCCTCCCCACTTGTCTCTAGATGCATGTCAAGATCACTTCAGGTTCTTTGTTTACAAAACATTTCAGTCTGTACCTGATGATGCCTTTACTGGCAAAACCATAGTCAGAAATAAATGATGTATATGTGAAACATAGAGTTGTCTTGTTTTTCACCAAATCTGTAATTTTATGTTGTATTAATTATGAAACTTTCAATTAAAGTCCAATAATTTTGACATATAGCTAGAATGAAAAGATGACTCAATTAAGTACAAGTGCAAGAAATGACAATACATTTCTTAGCTGAACAAGCCATTGCACAGTGATTGTTATGAAGATAGAATACAGTCAAGATTTTAGAAACATTAGTTGCATTTTTTGCTTAATGTGTGTTTTCTTAACTTTCTACACTCATAGATTCCAGGCTACTCAAGGAAGATTGACAACATCTGGTTTTATTCTGAGAAAGCAGTTGAAGTAATGAAAGAATATATAGAAAAGTAAGTTTCTGTACTTGTATCTGAGGGAGAAAGAATTTATGGAAAGTTAAATTTTGTATCTGTTTTATACCTGAAAAAGAAAGAGTATGTGGAAAAATAAGCTTCTATGCATTCATTCAACATGAAGATGAAAGAATACATTAATACATAAATTTCTGTTCTTGTATTACTTCTGAAGAACTTTTTGTTTCTTTAAAGAGGTATTTGAATTGTTTAGTACTTGTAGTATCACTGATCTTTAGGTTTTTGCATTTCTTTGCTTTTCTATTTTTGTCAATGATATATACAAGTAGAGAGCAAAAGTTATAGAAGACATATATTCTAATTTAATCTAGTGAGGGAAGATTTACTTGCAGAGGTCAGCATAATGTAGTTATGGTGAAAAAAGTAGTTGCTGAGTTTAGTATAAGGTGACAATACCAGGAGTTGCACTGGCAGGTTCTAACTTCTTATGTGGAGGCTGGCTATGTTACAGGAAGTAGGAAAGAGTTCCTTTTATACTGATCTTATCAGTTTGTATACTGTCCTATTAAATCTTCATCTTGTGCTTTTTTGTAACTACATCATGCAGTACTTTTGTCTTCCAGCAGTCTCACTCTGAATGTCAATGAATACAATAAATTGTTCCCATTTTAGCCTTACTGGTGCAGACGAGGTCAATATCTTGCCAGTAGAGTTGTGCCAAAATTTGATTTAGAGACTTCTCTTGTGAACTTTTCAGCTTCCTCATTTAACTTTATCCTGTATGGCTTCGTATATCCTTCTTACCATTTAACCTCTTTAACCTTTGATATATATATTTTAAATATCAAATTAAGTAGCCTCTCCCTTTATAAAAATATATCCACCTTAGTTAAATTCTCAACAAAATTTTGAGCATCAAATCTGAGACAGGGATTGATCTGTTGGTAAAATTAATCCTGGAGCCTAGTTGTGTGTAACAGTAGGATTGATGAATTTATGGAATATGGGTCAATTACTAACATAACTTATAACTGCAAGCTCAACCAGACATACTGGATAAGTTGACAGATCATCAAGTGGAGAGGACACTTTGCCACACTGTTACTAAAGGGTCAAAACAATATGGAGATGTCTAGTAACCATTTATAGGTGATTAGAGTAAAGTCCTGTGCCAAGGAGATTCTTGATGGTGGAAGGGTATGTTTTACACCTTATTGTCATCTGTGCACACATCACAATAATGGCAACTTCATTCTAATAGGCTTATTATGGTGGACAAGGTTAAGAACAGGAATTCTGAACAGCAGGTGATTAACATATTGACTAAAATCCATGTACATTAAAAAAATAGAGCCTAGACATGTGTTTGCGAGAGCAACAGGACTTATGCACTCAGTGAAGGACCAGACCTCATATGTCCAGCAGGAGAAGGACAGTAAAACTGAGGCCTAAACACTGATCTGGGAAAGAAGCATTCATATAAAGTGCATCAGATTTCTTCAGTCCCATATTATGATAGGTTATTGTAATATCAGGGGGATCAGGGAAGGTAAATACTACCTACAAAAGCTCTGAATTTTTTGACAGCATAGTCTTTCATGAGTGTAAACTCTTAGACCCTAAGGAGTTCACTTTCACTGGCTTTAACTTTACAGTTCAACACAACAGCAACATCTGCTATGAATGAGAGTTCCAATTCCAAATTGAACAGTCACTATTACAAGTTACAAACCATCCAGATAGGTCATCAAAAGTTCGCCATTCATATCTGAATCATCAATGTGTATATGAAATGTAAGACAGCACATCATGCTGAAGATTAGAGGTTCCTGCTTGAGAGTACTATGCATCTAGGAGTTGGATACTTTAGTACTAGACATGCCACCTGATAGGGAAATGAAAACACTAATGGCAAAGTTTTGCATTCTTCTCTCTACAGCATAGCCAACAACTCTGTACCTCTAAACTTGGGTGAACCAACACTAAGCATCGAGTACCAAGATGATAGAATCCTGTATAGACCTTGTTTTTGCTTATCCTATTCTGAGTGTCATCTCTACCTGACACAGGAAATATAATGTCAACAGTGATAACCTTATGTCTGAGATGTACATGAAGACTGGAAGACATGGTGGTATAAAACAGTTTAGATATCTATGCAAAGATGTTAAGCTATTCAGTAGTTCTCCTATCCAGAAACATCTCTCTACCTTCCATCAAAGTCAAGGCAACAGAAACAACAATAGGAACATCCATACTGGTAGAACAATGAGAAAAATAGTAGTAGTAACAGTGATATGCAAAAATCAGATAAGATTTTGAACAAAGTGAAAAGAAAAAGAGGAAGAAGAAAATAAGAGGAAATGAGACATGAGAAATATAGATTAACAATTATTAGAGACGAACATTGATTGAAATGAAATATTGCAGAATTTGCCTTGTCAGTTACATCGAAGTAGTAAGAAAGAGGTTGCATTACATTTCAACACACCAGTGCTTACTGAGCCATGGCCATTACTTTGTTATTTTGAGTAAGTTTTAGAATCTAGCCTTATGCACAGTCACATGACAGATGGGCAGCACAGAAAGAAAGTAAATCCAAGGACAGTTTCTCCTTTTCTTACTAAAATGTTTTAACTATAAATGATTTCATAAGTTCTTGTTATCAGCTATATAAATAGGTGTGGCTAATGCAGACAACATTGTTTTCCCTCATTTAATTGTTGTATTTTATATCAGCAGAGGAAATACAGGGTTTTTGATCATTTTTATCACTAATTTAAGTTAATCAGTTTATTAATGTTTAATCACAATATGGCAGACAGTGTATGTTGCCTGTCTAGTACTGAGTACAGAAAATGGAAGGCAGCAAGGAAGGAGTCAGAAAAGAAACATGAAGTTTCATTCATTGTCAAGAAGAATTTTTAAGTCATCAGTGAAAGAGTGTAAGCATGTGAAAAATTACAGTGTAAAAAAATATGTTAGTATTAAGATAACAGGAAGTACTAATGGTGATTTGAAATTAAAATGAAACTGACATTGAAAACAATAGTAAAACATTTTTGACAGAGATGAATGATGATGGTCACATGATTGAAGTTTCATGAGCTTGTGAACAATGGTCAACTCATATCAGAGGTAATTGGAGATAATTACTTGTACTTAAGTGTCCACTACTTGCAAAAGATTTAAAAGTTTTCACATGATAAAATTGGAAGGCGATTTGTTGCAACCTTTTATAACCACTAGTTTACTAACATAACTTCTGATAAAGCTGAAATTAGAGAACACTTGATGGGATTCACTGATGTGAAATGCACAATTTGAGTTGGTATAACAGAGTTGCTACTGCAAAAACTTAAAAAATCAAGATCCAGTTTTAAATGAATAATGAGCAGTGCTATAACAATGAAGCAATATGAAAGTCAAAGACAGTGGAATTCAGTCTAGAGTTCTGCCATATCATGCTGTGTAGTACTCACTTAGTCATGTTTTTAATTATACTATAGTGTCAACTTTCGAAGCTGTATTATTGTTATTTTTTTATTCAAAGGTAGTTTGGCATTTTGTAATACTGGGTCTGTACACAGAAGTGAATTTCTTAAGAAATTTGTAACTGTATGCTGTTCTTAAGTAAAGAGTTGCATACAGATATGTCACAACCACAATAACTAAAGGAATGCTAAGAACTAGCCAACAGTGAGTCACTGATCATTGAATAATGAAGGCTGAATCAAATGTAAAAATGCAAACAGGTTAAGTGGTGTCATATGATGAAGAAACCAAAACAATGTACATACAACACAGTTAAACTGGAAATAATGCTATTTATTTGACTGATTTTCTTGTATCAGTTAACAGTAGATGAACAGGGCTTCACTGCACAAAGACAAATGGCCTGATGACCTGGAAAAGACTGACTCAACTGTAAACAAGGGCAGTGCTGGCCCTTTGGAGGTCCTAAGCTTGAATATTTTTTGGTCCCACTAAAAAAAAATACTAATTGCATTATTTCAACCAGCCAAAAAATTTATAAATACAACACATACTACATACTAATACACTTGTCAAAAGCCATTTCTACACACAAACACAATAACCGCTGCTTATTGACCCTCTCGCTACAGGTAGATCAAAATGAGTATATCATGACCCTTTATCGATTGACATTCGTTTTTTTGCACAGTTTTAAAAGGATTTTTCATTTCATGTACAGTCTAGTGTTTGTGTTTACATACTTATTTGTACCATGTATAAATTCTATCAAATAAGAAATATTTCTTTTTAAATGGGGTTTTGTAGTAGGAAAGATATATCCATTTATCGCATGTCTTTCTCAAATCCTACACACTATGCAAGTACTGCACTTAGCAACCTGTCATTGTATGTGTATCACATATGCTTATTAACCCTCACGCTATGTGTAGGTGAAAGTAAGCACATCATGATCTTTAAGAGAATTACATTCAAAATTTAGTTAAACTATTTTATTAGCATTATATATATAAATAAACTTGGCATCAAAACATAATTAATAAATCAAATTTTAATATTATATAAGTTTTAATTTTACAAGAAAATATTTAAAAAATTTGTCAAACTCTCCAAGTATGAGAATTGTGATATTGTTTCTAGGTCTTCCCTCTTCTCTAATTTATTTACCACCTCTTCGAGAAGTACGGAATTTAACATAAATTACTCATTATAAATATATATTGCTAATCCAAAGCATAATTTTTATAGCCTTCAATCTTGTTTGTTTATAGAGTCATAAACTAGAAAATCAGACTCACTTGCCACGCCCACCTGTCACATCCTCTCTTTCACAAATTGCTAATAGTTCTCTCTGATGTTTTATATATATATATATACATATATATTATTTATAACCAATATAGAAAGTCATTGTTTTAATCTATCAAATGACATTTTGCAATATTTTCTATACAGAGTATTGTCTATTTCAACCCAGTTTGAAAATTTCTTTCGCAGTATTCACATCGACAAGCTTAGCTGAATTTTTAAAGGCCCTTATTGCATAGGTTGAAAGGCAG